AGTCTGAGCTGATTTGATCTGAAATGAGGTCATCAACTCTTAAGCAATTTTATTCATAGCGAGTAGGAATTTGATCACTTGTCTTTCGGATTTCTGTATGTTTTCCCTTTTTCTTACAGTGTAAGAAATAATAATACTTATGGACACACTTCTTCATCTCTTTCAAGAAATATGTATCCCATTCATGCTATAGAAGCACTTGTGTATCTAGTTGCTGCCTGTTTTCTTAGAACCGTGGCCAAAGAGTTCTTTCTGATTTCATGGCTCAAAACTAAGAACAAATGTATTTAAAGAGAGAGTTTTGTTGCCTCTTCATACAGAAAGGTATGTCATTTATTTTATGTTCAGTAATAAGTATGTCAGTTAGTTTGGAGAAGTCAGGGACATAGTTATGTACCATGAATATGACCAAGCTTCTACTGAACTTTCAGCTGCAACTGTTTGATTCATGTGGGAAATGTGAGGTTTGTGTTGCCTGTTGTAGGACTGCAAAATGACTACTGAGCAAGTGCATTGATTTATTCGAAGAAAAAGTGGTTGCCTTTAGTAACTACTTCTCTTTTGGCTTAAAGAGGGCACTGACAGAGGAGAAATAATTGTTTCACACAAGGGCTGGATGTTTCATGGGTTTGCTCTCAAACAATGTTGTTAACAACTTCTTGATAACTGTGAGTTACCAGCACTGTTGTTTGTGATATTACTACAAGCTTTGCAATACTTTGCTACCCCTCCTCATTTTCTTTTTTAACTTAATGCTCCATTTCCTGCAGTTGCATGTGTAAAAATCAAAATCAAATCTAACTCTGTTAAGATGGGGGGAAAAAATTCAAACATTTTAGCTGATTGCATTCTGAAGACAAAATTAAGAATAACTCAAAATATGTCAAATGGGAAATTACTTGTGGTTAACCCTTATATCGTTGTTTGTATGCCTCAGGATGGATTGTATTTTGGTAGTTTAGAATGATGTCTGAGGACGAGAGTAAAAAAATGATCAACATTCAAAGGCAGACTGGATTTCGAGAGTGATGTATTAATACTAATACATCCCTCTTTGCATTGACACAAAGTGCACATATCTGAACCAATTCCTCTTGTCTGTCAAATTGTCAAATTAAGAGTAAGGCTAACCTTTCTGTTGTGTTAAGAGAAGGAGATTTGGCAGAAACTAACCCCCTTGTGTTTCCAGGTGGATCTCAGATGTCAGGGGCTTGGGGCAGCTGGGCTTAGATTCTGAGTGACAGCCAACTCAGCTCTAAGGAACAGAAATGCAGAGCCAATGCAGCACTGTAAGTCCGGCTGAGTTCAGTAAGAACTGCCATGGTTACGGTTGCACAAATACTGCGATACACTGTGAGTCTGGTTGCGCCCAACGAGCTCTCATGGCTAGATTGGAAGTCTGATCCTGTTCAGTAACTCTCATGGCCAAGTGCAAGATGGTGTTGTTTCTTGAGCAACAGAAATGCAGATTATTATTGGATTGCTGGTGATAAATACATCATCTGCAGGAGCACGCGTGAATACATAAGTAATGTATAAATAAATAAATAAAACACATAATAATAACTGTGGCAAATACGTTTAATTGCCAGATGACTATATAGTGCTAAAAGTCTTATCACAAGCAGAACCTTGCTTTCTCAATTTTCCAAAGAAGCCCTAGATATAGCTGCGTGTTTGAGTCTTACCACATAGGCATCCCTGTGGGGAATGAGATAGGTACATCCCATCAAATATCCCAGGATACAAAAGTGGAGTCTCCTCTAGCCTCCTTCCCCACTTAAGCTACATTTATATTGTTTTCTTTGAGAGACGGGAAAAAGAAAAGTTAAAGTTGATATCATTTCGTGTTTAGGTGTAGTCTGAATGACTTTAGTCATACATGTAAAGCATGTACAGGTTTTAGTTTGTTAGCATACACAGAGGCATGAAAAGTAGTATGTTTTTTTGAGTTAATGAAACAAAGGTCAGCTTTTGGTCACCATTTGGGTCATTCCTGTGGCTTAGTTCCTGTTAGCTGCATCGTTTTAAACAGAGCCTGACCACAACACCTCTGTGCAGCTGCACCCTTTGTTTCATGCCTCTCTTAAGAATGGTACACTAAGCTCCTTCAGTGTTTCTGGTCCTAAGGTGTTCCTGGTGAACTGTAGCCAACGCATGCTCTCCTTCTTGCTGAACTTTGTTTTTCAGGTTTTTTTCCCCACACAGATTAAAGCAATATGACCCTCTTACCTCCAGCTCCCCAGTTTTTTTCCTTGAACCAAGCATCTCATCTTTCAAGACATTGTTAGCACTATTTTAAGATGCTTTCTTGGGCAAGAAACCAGAGGGATTAGACACAGGCCAGAACATACTATAAAGCCAAGGATGAATGCTTGATGAACCCAGGAAACTTAATTTAACTGAAAACACATAGTTCTTGTGTGTTTATCATATAGTCTGATTGTAGCAGGTAATATGAAGAGGAAAACTGGAGTTTTACCAGCTCTTAAGGCCTTAAGTCAAAGGGATTTAATTTTATTGGAATGTTCTGCATTTTCTGACATGAAAATGCAAACATCTTTGCCCAACACTAGCAGAGAGCTGTGAAGGCAGAAGGCATGTTTTCTGTTTGCCATCTGAATCTCATGCTGCCAAGCCTGAGTGAATCTTCCTGGTGATACTCCTAGGCTGTGCAAAATCTAGCTTTAAACTGAGGAATGGTACTGCTATCAGATGAGATGACTAACATTGCCTTTCCTACTTCAGCCTTAACTAAAACAATTACCCTCAATTTCCAGCTGGCACAATTAGCCTAAACTCCAAAGGGGCAGTTAATTGAGAGTATATACTTTAGGGATGGCCAGAAACTGAAGTTTCTGTTGACTAAGAAAATTTAGAATTTGAAATTGCTGTTATTTGGAATTAGAACACAGAGCTCAATTTCTAAATATCTTTTTTGGGGAAGAGAATTGTTTTGTTTTAGAAAGACAAAGATTAGTTTTTAACTTTATATACGTGTATTTAGTATGTAGATGTAGCTTTAGTATTTAGAGACATTGTACTGAATTTTTTCACGTAAGTCAAATTGTATGATTTTCAATTGCTTGTTTCAAAATGAGTTAAAATCAGTAATTCCTGAAAGTATTTCACCTTTAACACAATTTGCATTTTCAGCACAGTGTTCAAGCTGAAGTCAGATATAGCTCTAATTCGTTTCACTGATAAACACAGAACAAACAGAGATACTTTAGCCTTTGTAGTGACTCTCTAGAGGAGCCATTTCTCAAAATGTTTTCAAAATAACCCTTTTTAAAAATTTAATATTATCACCGATCTTGTATATTAAGACAATGATACAAAATAGTGCTACAGCAGTATTTTCAGTTTCACTTCATTGTCAGAAGACCTTCTTTTTCCAAAGATGGTCCTTAACTCTGAAGTGGAGTCAAGAACTAGATGGAGTGAGCAGAGCTGAGGACCCATCTTTGTGGAGAAGTTAGAACAGAAAGACAAGTTAGTGTGCTAATGTCCTGCATGGTGACTTTCTGGACCACTGTCAATGTGGCAGGAGTGTGAAGGATGTACCTCTGCTTTTGGAAGTAAAAAGAATCTGAATTTGTCCTACCGGACAGGTGGAGTGTCTGTCATCTATCCCACAAGTTTTCATGAGGTGACAGAGATATGCTGACATTTTCACCCTCTGTGCTAACCTCTGCATAGGAGTAAATCTGTGCCTTTTTGCAGCAAGTCCAAGAAATTCTGATTAAATTTAAACCAATTATTTTAAGGCTTGCATGTGCACTGATGTCACTGCACAGCCAAGGAGTGTGTAACTTGCTAACACCTCAGTTATATTTTATAAATTCCCTGTATGGCCATTCTTTAAGTGTCCCTGTTCAAGGGTACCTTCAGAAGTGGATTGCACTACTGTGGGCTTAGGGAACTGGAGATCCCACTTGATGTGTTAACACAGTGCTGTGCATTTGGTGTGGGCAATCCCAGAGAAATATATTCAAGCTTGGCTCAAGGCACTTCTAGTGTGATGGTACCTATCATATGTATGGCTGTTCCTGTTGTTGCCCAGAGGATCTAAGGGGAACTGAATTTGCCAGAGAGCATATATTTTTTTTTCCCTTTACTTTCTGGCACTAATTGCTCGTTTAATTTTGTTTGGTTCATTGTTCCTTAGTAAAGCTTGCTGATGGTAAAGAGGCATGTTTTAGAAAGTACAAATATTGTACTCACTCTTTTGTTTTCCCTCTTGAAACAAAAAATGAACATTCTCATGCCCTGAACGAGTGAAAGACTTTTAGACTAGGAGCCTTATCTAATTATGTACGTTATCTAATTTGGCACATTTTCAGTGTTAGAAGGGACCACATTTTATCCAAGAAATCCCTGGCAATTTCAGAGAAGGAAATGGAGTAGCGTTGCCCTCTGTAGGAGCTGTGATTGTGCTCACGGCCGCAAGGCGCTAATGCCTGTCTGGCCGGGCTGATTATGCACTTGCTTGCTGCACACAGGTCATGTTTGACTAGCTTGTGAAAGCAGCCTTGGCTGAGCCTGCTGCGACGCCGTGTGCAGAGATTAGCAGTGCTGAACGCAATTCAGAAAGCACAAGGGATGCCAATTGGTGGGAAACATTTAAACTGGCAGGGAAAGCAGGTAGCTGAGTGCAGCGAGCAGTGTACACAAGGATCACAGGTTACATCTGGGATTTTGTGATGAATGCTTAATGAGCATTCAACAGAATCAGTTCAACAGAACTCTCCAGGCTGTTGTAAACGTAGCTGAAGGAAGTGTGGCTGATAAGACACCGAATAACCGCTCTTGTAAAGCTTTTGTTTGGCGCTGCAATATTTAAAATCCAGAAAGATAATGGAGAGAAAACAGGACAGTAAAACGAAAAGGGAACTGTCCTACTTAGCTACTTTAAACGACAGAAACATAACCCTGATGTCTATTCGTAAGCAGCAGGCAGCTCATGATGTGCCTGAACTACTGATTATTGGTGAAAAGTCCAAGACTGGATCTCCAGTAAAAGCAAGCAGTAACTTGCAGAAAGAAGAGAAACTTTTGCAGAGTTACTCCATGGGAATGCCAGAAGTCAATACAGTTGAAAGACAGGTCAGTGAGCTGGTGTGTGCGCATGTTGGGAGGGAAGTAGTGTTTCTGATCTGGAGAATTTAAAACAAAGCATGTTGGACATGGGTTGTATATTAAAGGACGTTAAACTTTCTTTATCTAAATTGTCTCAATCCCCAGCACGGATGCCAGCCCCATAGCAAGCAGTACACAAATGCAAAGTCCGCTGGAGATCCTCTGAAAGTAATCTTTGAAAGCAGATGTTAATGATGAGTTATGCGGTAGAAACTAATGAGCATTGTTTCAGCTCCACCTCTAATAATACAGAGTGGTGATTCTTAGGAAGGAAACATAGTATTTCTCCTTTTGAACTGCAATTGCTTGAGTAGTTTGACAGAAGTTCATACCAGTTTATTCTCTGGAATAACAGAAATTGAAGAAACATTAAAAAGTCCTTGTAGGTAAGTAGTTTATTTATATTTACTAAGTGGGTGCTAGTGAAAGTTTGTGATAAATGTATCTGTGGCAACTTTTTTTAAAATTCAGTGTTATATATAACTATGGTATTTTTGTAGATTAACTGCTATGAAAAAGAGGCTTAGAAAGATCAGCGCCGATAAAAACATGATAAGGTTTATTATTTTTAAAAGAGTTTTTGCTGTTTAAAAGGTATGTAAACTGCAGTAATGTAGTTTGGGTCAGTGAATATTGGGAATATTCAAGGAAAAGAAACTCTCAGAAAAAATGTGTTCTTTGAAACTGTGTATGCTTAGAATGGCTTAAATAATTAGTGTCAGACTGGAATGAAATAACAGCCAGGACCGACCAAATATACCTGAAGGCTTTTTCTGCCTTGAGTTATTTCTTGTATTATAAATGTTTACTAGAAAACAATCATGACAAAAATGACTTTGTTCTGCCAAAGGATCTCTTCTCTGTATTCAGTTCACTGGAATATTTGTGTTGCTTGTACTGGAGCTGTGAAGAACATCAAAGAGAGTTTTGCATTGTTTTAATTCTAAATTAGAAACATTGCATATACAGCAAGGCTTTCCCCTTTCCCATAAAGCAAATGTGGTTTATACAGCTCCCTTTAATTTAAAAGTAGCTGTTAAGGTCTCTAAGGTTTGTTAACTACAGTAGGTGTGATTTCAGTAAGACTAGTTCTAACTGCCTAAATCTTTCCCCATCATCTGTACTGATAGAGAAACCTGATCATAAATAGGGAATAGCAGTCACTTTGAAGAAGCATTAAGATAATTAATTTAGTATTTTGGAAACAAAAGTCCCATAAAGGCTGCTTTGTAATAATATTCTCACTGAATCTTGATATCCAGGTTTAGTGGGTGTTATTTCCGTCTTTTAAGACTCAGGAACTGTTTGAAAAATAACAAATTGTGTTACAAGTAGTTACTGAAAATAGTAGCTACTGACGTTTGTTAATCTTCATCTGGGGGAAGAGAGAAGGAAGAACAACCAGTTAAGATCTAATATATTTAAAGAATATTCACTAATGAGCTGGATGGACAAGTTGCACTGAAAATTTTTAAGGAGGATGAGGATTGAATGTCTGCCCTCTCAGAAGCGCTGTTGTTGTAGGCATGAAATTGAAGACTTGTGACCTTTGATATTCTTGTGGCTGCTCTGCCCTCATTTTTTTGTTCACTGCCTGCCTATAATAAACTGGGAAACATCTGAAGCATTTAATTAATAGAATGTGGCTTTTCAGTTGTGTGTTGCTGCCTGCCTGAATCCAAAGCCATGAATCAGAGGGTTATGAAAGAAGGAAGCAGGAAAGGTAAAGCACAGATAAGATAATTCCTTGGTGGTTGTGTGCTCAAAGGTAAGAGAGTGATAACTGGTTTCAGCCCACAGAGATACAGGGAGAAGAGCAGCCCAAACCCTCTGGAGATAGTGTGTGAGAGGTTCAGTGAGCTCTGGTATTTATAAATGAGTGGGTGGGGAGAGGCAGAGGAGGAGGTGCTCGATGGGCTGGGCCCCATCTTCTCACTGGCTGATTGCCTGGCATCATGGTGAGGAGTCTGGTGTTTGAATTTCAGGATGTGAAAGTTGGCATCCCTGCAGGCCAAACGCAGGAGGGCAGGAAAGCAGCGCCAGCCGTGGGGGGAGAACCTTGCTGGGTGAGCAGAGAGGAGCAGCATTGTGCCAGACCTTGGTGTGGGTGATGCTCAGAGGGTTGTGGGGTATGCCTACCACGACCTCAGCCTTGTGCTGCAGAAGACAGGAGTGTTACATTGGCATTTTGGAGGTGGCTACACCTCTTGGGAAGGGGAAGTGGGTAGAGGGATGGCTTTCTTGATGACAAGCCACTCCACAGGGTGACCCATGGAACACAGTGGTGGAGGCAGCATGGAGACCCAGCCAAGGGTGGCTGGTGGCTGGGCCGTGAAGCCAGTGAGGGCACAAGCTGTGTTTAGTTCACAGCCATGGAGTTGCATCCATTCTCAGCATATTGGTCACCATATGTGCATATGTGAAAGTCTCACCTGGTGCTGTGGTTTCCTTGTCTTGGGGTTTTCCTCTGAGTTCAGTTGTTTTTCTCACATTTATTATGTATCCCTTCACTGCTCCGTTAAACTCCTAGACTTTGCACATCTGAATGGGAATATCCAAAAGAATAGCCCATTTTGGGGGACAGCAAAGCAACCTGCCGCTAGGCCTCCGAGGGCAGACCTCGATGGGGGGGTTTGCCCCAGGGGCCACACAGACCATATGCAGTGACTGCCTTTCCCATCGGACCTGTCACAAGCTCTGGATGCTCTGATATGAGGGCTTGAGACTTGGTGCTTCCAATCCAGCAGCATCTCCCTGTCCCACCTCCATGCTTTCACAAGAAGTTAGTCCAGCCCCAGAGCATATTCCCTTTGGATGTTCTCCTTCTTGCTGGCTGGAGGCAGTCAGAATGGGGAGCATGAGCCTCTGCCTCTACCAGCAGTCTATAAGCCTTGCTTTGCTCCTTGACAGGCATGAGTACTACAGCTCCTGTCAAGGACATCAAGGGTTGTTCTTCATGCCTTGAAATCCTCATGCTGGAAGTTGGGCTTCAGATGCCATATTCCTGCACATCAACAGTTTCAATTGCTACTCATCTCAGGTCTAGTTCAGAGCTGTCTCCTGTAGATGCAACTGTTTTCCAACCCGCTCTGGCACTTCCTTTAAAGCTCTCTCCATCTACTGCTGCTTCTGTGTCAATGAGTTTCTTGATTTTTTTCTGGTTTTTTTTCCATATTATTCATATGAACTTCTTTATGTTGAGATTCTTAGCTTTTAGACTAGAGCCTCACTCTGCTGTGCATTATCAGTTGCAACTTTTATGTGCAGAACAAGGGAGGGAAAGAATTGTCATCATTTTATGTTTCATTATTTACATACTCTTTACATAGCTACTGTAAAATTATGCATGAGACTAGTAGAGCACCAACATACTTGGTGTACACCTGTCCTTAAAAGTAAGCAGGCCTCCTTTGGTGTGAGAGACAAAATAGTAACAGTGGCCAGTTCTTTCACACATTCCCCTCTAGATGCAGAGTCAGAAGCATTTCTACTGTTATGTTGGTATTTCTCTCTAGACAGAAACAAGCATAAGGGGCAGCGCCTGGGAATCCCAGGCACCTTTTTTGGCATTTTTGGTGGTGATTGCTTCTCTGATCCTCTTGCAGATGGTGTCTGAATTACTATACAGCCTCATAGATGCCATTTTATGTGTATGGCATCAGGAAACCCTCTTCTGAGACCCAGCTGTGCCTAAGGAAATCTACAGGCACATTTCCATATCACTCGTCTTCGTGTCCTTACATGAATCTGCTGTTTTCCTCTGGTCTAGGAACACCCATCTTGCAAATACACACATAGATGTATTTATGCCCCTTCAGTTTGTGGGTTTTTTTGAAGCTGTTAGACAATACTAAAGGCTTTGTAAATACTTTATTTGTTCCTGTGCACATTTCTTGGGTTTGGGGGAAAATTCTTCAATGATTTTGCATTTGTGTGTTTGGTGGGGGGTTTTTAAGGGAAATGAGCTTTGTATTTTTCTTATATCCGCGTCCCCTCTCTATTTTTATCTTGTCATTTAAAAATTTCCGTGCAAGTTTTTCTTCTACAGACTATAAACATCTGGTTTTGTAAAGTAGCAAACAAAATATTTTTGACAATTCGTTGAATGTTGATAATAGCCTTTTATGCAAAATATAAAGCAGCAGCCAAGTTTTGATGTTTCTGTGGCTTACAATCCATTGAAATAGTAGAACCAGTCCTTGCTTTTATGCTTTTCACATGGCTGGAGGACAAGAAATACCCTTTAATCTTTTTTTTTCTATTTAATTTGAAATGCTTTTATATCACTGGGTACTTGGGAAAGGTGAGACAGATGGTGAGAATGGGGGTGGAGGGAACAGTGGAGTACATAAGTCTACTGATAGTTCTGGGTTTCATCTGCAAGTGGCTGCCAGAAACACAGTGAAGGGAAGCAGGAGAGCAGAGCATGTTTGTCTCGCCCATTTCTCACGCTCTGTTTCACCAAAGGATGCAGAAGGCAAATACCTTTGTCATATGAGCCAAAATAAATGCACTGGGTGAGCTTCTGTAACTCTCATGCGGATTTGTGCTTCACTGGGTGTTTGTGATAAGAAGAGGGGGCCACAGCAAGCAAAGTGTCCTTGAGGGACTGAGGATAAGGGAGAGGAGATGAGGTGCAATATTCAAAAAACATTTCTTGAGGCAGATTTTACAATAAACGAAAGTTTGAGCTGTCTAAGCATTTGAAATTTGGTGGATGAGAGACTGTTTTTAGATGGGTTTATTTTCCTTATACAAGGCCAGGTTATTATTTCAAATTGTGGGAAGTCACAGATAGGAGGAAATAAGAATATAAGCATCTTGCTCGTCTTCGTGCTTAAACAGGAAACCATCTTTGCAGGGAAGTCTGATTAACTGTTAATGTTTTGTTTTGAAAGGAGGGTGTGGTTGCACATTTTCACATATTTTGGGGATTTCAGTAACTTCTGGGAAGTGCAAGGAGAGGGGTATGGGTCCTGGGTGCTGCCAGGCCTGTGGGAGGAGGAAGCAAAAGGGGATGTCAGGACTAAAATATTCCTGTGAGTCTTCTTCCCCAGCTTGCTGTTGGGATAGTGAGGGGCTGCACCATAGTTGCTGAAGAGTTGAAGTTGCTCATTCCTCCTCCTGTTATAACAAATACAGTACAGGAAAAGCTGAAAGAAAATGTCTTGTGTTAAATTTTTGCGGTTTTGGTTGTGACCTCAGACCTCATTATTCCCAAGCTGTCTAAGCATGAAACAAAATCAAGTTAATGAATTTTGAATTCTGCATCAAATGAACTGGATGCATTCTAGTGTTAATAAGCAGCCTAAATGCTTCTCATCCATGCTGTGGTATTGAGGAGGGAGTTTTCTTATGGGTCATAGAAACAAGACTTGCAGTACTGAGCCTGATCTGTTGGCCTCTTCTCCAGGCCCTCTCTGCAGTAATGCCCAGCATCAGGTGTTTTATTGAATGCTGGAGATCCCACAGCTTTGCTGGCAAGAGAATAGATTTATCATAGTTGCTTTCATCTAGATCTTTAGTATTTAAAGCTGGTTTAAGTCATGGACATGAATTTTTATGTTCTTTCTGTGAAATCTGACAATCAGGAACTTGTCCCTCCCCTTCTCACTCTTCCTCATCACATGGTGCCACTAACTGGAGACAGAGTCTGTGCTCTGAATACCTGTTCTGTGAGAAGCATTGCTGTTATTTTTATTTTTTTTAATACTTCATTTTCAATTGAATGGAGTGCATTCAACTGTAGAGTTTCAGTACCGCAGAGCCCATGATCTGACTGATCTGTTTCAGTACTTGCCATCCTGAAAATCAGTGTTGGATCAAACCAGTGAGTAGCTCAATTTATAGTCTTTCTTAGGTGCCTCACAAGTCGGTAAATGAAACTAAACCGTAGTGGAAATATCTGCATATAGTTCTGTGTCTTTTAAGATCTTTATCAGATATAGATTTTAACTTAAAAGATCTATATATTATATGCAGAGACCCCAGGCCTTTCTGTGCATGCGTATACTCTTCAAATATCATGCAGCTGGTCCTCCCTGCACCAGCTTGTTTCAAGCTTCTGGGAGATTCATGATTCTGTTTTCTTGGGCTTTTTGGTTTGATGTGGTTTGGTTTGGTTGGAACTCCTGATGAGCAGGACCAGATTGGCCAAACTGTTTAGGACATTGATGGAGAGGCAGTCAGCATACACTCTACTGTGACCCACTGTGCCAGTGACAGTGTGCTCTGAAGAGCAGGGCTCAGGCTTTGTGATGGAAGTACCCTGTTGCTGCAGAGAGCTCAAGTTTTAAATTATTTGGTTGGGGTTGGAATACTGAATCAATTCTGGTTTTACATCCTTAGTGAATAGTTTTTAAATTGCTACTCAAGAAATGTGTCAGAGGCCTGATTCATCATCATGGGTTAATGTTGTGAAGTGTTTCAGCACTATAGACTGACTTGAGAACACTTCTAGCATATGCTTCAGAGTATACGCAGACCATTGCAGCGTATACAGGGCTGAAGATACAGGCATTTATTTTTACTCCTTCTCTTTCTCCTTAGGCTTTGTCAAACATTGATTCTCCTCCTGGCTGTGAGCTGGAGCCTACAATGAAACATAATTTTGCTTTTGACAACATGGGCTACGAGGAGAGCTTTGAAACCACTCCTTCTTCATCTTCCCAAGAACGTACTGTGACAATCAACATTGTGGGAATGACTTGCCAATCATGTGTGCAGGCAATAGAAGGCCGGATTTCCAAGGTGAAGGGCATTGTGAGTATTAAAGTCTCCCGTGAACAGAACAATGCTGTTATCAAGTATCTGCAGTTGGAAATAAGTCCGGATCAGATTTGCCTGGAAATTCAGGATATGGGCTTTGATGCCAACGTAGCAGAAGAGAAGTTGACAACAGCAACCATAAATCTGTCGAGCTTGAAAGAAGCAGTAGTTAAGCTTCGCGTAGAAGGTATGACATGCCAGTCCTGTGTCACCAACATTGAAGGAAAGATTAGGAAACTGCATGGTGTAGCAAAAATCAAGGTGTCACTTGGTAACCAGGAAGCAATTATTGCTTACTATCCTTACATCATTCAGCCTGATGACCTCAAGAGACACATCAATAACCTGGGGTATGACTGCACCATTAAAAGTAAATCAGCCCCTTTGAAGCTGGGTGTCCTTGATCTCCAGCGCTTGCAGAATGCAAACCCCAAGAAGACACCAGCAAGTTTTGAGGGTGATGGGCTGGATCCACTGGTTGCTGAGATGAGTAGCACAGCTACGGTGACTGTACAGATAGAAGGCATGCACTGCAAGTCCTGTGTCAGAAACATTGAAGGAAATATATCAGCTGTTCCTGGAATAAAAAGTATTAAAGTGTCTTTGGAGCAAAAATGTGCTGTGGTAGAGTATAGCCCAGATTTAATTACCCTGTCAGCTCTGCAGCAAGCTATTGAATCCCTTCCACCTGGAAACTTTAAAGTATGCCTCCTTAATGGTTCAGAAGCAAATAAAGGAGCATCTCCATCACCTGCTTTCACAGGTGATCTCATCAAACAACCACTGCAAGACCCGACGTGCATAGTTGTTATTAAGATTGATGGCATGACCTGCAATTCTTGTGCACAGTCCATAGAAAGGACCATATCAGAGAGACAAGGAGTGCAACAGGTAGCAGTTTCTCTAGCTGGCAGTACTGGAACCATACATTATGATCCAGCTGTCACTAACGGCGAAGAGTTAAGAGCTGCCATAGAAGACATGGGATTTGATGCTTCAGTGCTGACAGGTAACAGTGGTTTTTTTCTGTGGGTAGCATGCCAGGCTGGGCTGTGTGACACCTGCTTTGAAATTCTCTTCTAGAGAGAAACTCTTAAAGCATCACATTGGCATTGTCTTTTCTGAATGACTGGCCTGATCTGACATCACTAAGCAAGGGAGAGAGGTTTCAGCTGTAAAGCACCTTGTTTCAGGCATTCATAACTGCACTAATGGCTGTAAGAGTTGAGTTGTGTTATGAAACCAAAATATTTGAGAGTTGGTACAAGGTCTTTCAAACAGCTCATGCCCTTACCCACTGAAGTAAGTTTCCTGCTATGTCTACAGGCTGCTGTAAGTAGGTCTATCAAACCAAATGTTTTCATTTATGTTCCAGAATACTAAAACCTACAAAAATGAAATCTCTTTCATTTAAAACACTTTTCACCTAGCTAAAACCTCTTCTCTTAAGAAGTTGCTTTGATGCACAATCTCCTCTCTAGTGAATTTCAAATGTAGCAGTTTTTACCTGCTTCAAACTAAACAGATTTGCTTTGAAATAGTGATGTAGTTTACCTGAAATTAATTAGTTTGATCACAACAGACCCACATCCTATTCACTTCTTTCATGCGTCCAAACCCTCTGAATCTGTGGTACTACTACAAATGAGGCAGGGCCAGTATGTGGCGTTTAATTATTATTTGTTTGGTTTGTAATTTGTTAGTACGAGACCTCCCAATCCATCTGTGGGAAAAGAGGGAATCCCCCTGTGTTTAACACATTCAAAAGCAACTCCTGCTCCTTTACACAAAGGAGGCAGTTTGTGAAGATAGCTGGAGCTGTTGTGTGTCTGTTCAATGTCTGGTAAAGAACAAAAATAATTACAACAGGCCTGTTTGTGTTGAGGTCTCCTGGGTGCTTCCACTACTCGTTTTGCACTACTTGCAGTGTAAATACTGCACCGTAAAGAGAAACCCGTTAAGAAACTTCTCCTTTCCCTTGTTTGAGATGAAATGCTATGAGTACTGCATAGATGACAACAACAACAGAATGGATATGACTGGACTGAATTCTCTGTGCTGGATAGTGACCCTCTAGGTATCTTTGTCAAGTGGAGGCAGATGTCAGGTCTAGGCATTGAAATTAAGGGGAATCATTTGTCATCTGAAAGTGGAGAACTAGTTCTGTAGAGTTAAATGATCATGCAAGTGGTACTGGTGAGTGTATAGTTTTATAAGCCTAGGAATAATATACACTATTTCCATGTAGAGACCAAGGTTACTGGGTCACCTTTCAAACTACTGTGAGGATTTGTGTGATTGATATGTGTGACTTGTTTGAACTTTTGCATCATCCAATCGCACTGTAAATAGCGTTTGTTCGGCGTATTTGTTCATTTATTCAAGATACCTCCACTGCAGAACATAGGCACCAGCCTAATGCCAGCAAAGCTGCAGTGCAGCCTCGACCTTCAGAGCCTCCTCACCAAGGCTGTGTCTTGGATGCTCTTCCAGACAGTCCTCACCTTGATGGGTCAAACCAGCTCAGTGGAGCAACAGCTGAAAAGTGTTTTTTGCAAATCACAGGCATGACCTGTGCATCATGTGTGTCTACCATCGAAAGAAATCTGCAGAAAGAAGACGGTATTAAATTTAAAATTCCTATAATGGGTCTGTAAGGGACTGTGGGGTGGAAAAGGTATTCTGTGTGATTCTATGGGATAGGTTGTGGTACAGCATCTGAAAGTAAATAGACTTAATGCTCTTTTTAGTGCTAATATAACTATGTCACTGTTTTACTATCCTTCTGCACTGGTGGAAAACCTCATGGACATACTTGTAACAGTAAGTTGTTGCAATGTGATAAAAATTTCAAGTAATTTCAAGTAAGACAAGAACAGAGAAAGGGTTCTCATTTAGTTTTCAGGGCCTTGTTGCTTTACAGGGCAATCCATCTGCTCCAGATGGATTGTTTTTGATGTGAAACTTACCCTTCAGGGCGCATTTGCACAAGCAGGTATGAACAAATGCATGGCTCCAGTGCCAGGGTAAGCTTAGGCAGAGCAGTGTTTGCTAGTCTAGAAGTCTGCAGGCTGGAGCTGCCTTTCCTCTGACCATATGGAAGATGAACAGATGAGCCTTGGCAGCCTCTGATTTCATTTGTGTCAGCATGCCTTTGGAGGGTTTTGCTTACTGATTACTGCATCCCCAGTCTCACAGTGATGGTCTCACTGTCTTGATTTAAAAATCCAAGAAACCATTAGCACTTCAAAACTATTTTTTTTACCTATGAATTTTATGTTTTGCTTTTCAATTCTAAATGTAGATTTCTGTGGGGTTTTTATTTATTAAAAAAAAAGGAGGAGATGGGAAACAAGAAAATAAAAAAGTCTAGCATTGTATTGTGGGGTTTGTTTGACTCTTTCCAAACTAAGAGAGTCCAGGATAGAGCTCATAGCAATAAGTGCAAAGATTGTTTCTGAACGTCCTTTTTGTCTCATTAGATCATAAAAAACCTCACCTCCTTCCATGTTCCTCTCATTGCTAAAGGGAACCACAATGTGGCTGGATCTTAGTAAAAACTTTGCTGTTGTGACCAGGGAACAACACTAGAAGGAAGCAGAGGGAAATCATTAGGCTTATAATGTCTCAGAGTTGTTACAGTCCTCATTGACAGTCACTTGTAATATTTTATTTTTCTTTCCCTCAAAGGGGCTATATTATCTAACATTTTTTTTATTATGCCACTGCAGGAATTGTTTCAGTGTTGGTAGCACTGATGGCAGGCAAAGCAGAAATAAAATACAAGCCAGAATTCATACAGCCTTTTGAAATAGCACAGCTGATCCAGAATTTGGGTTTTGAAGCTACCATCATAGAAGATCATGCAGAAACAGAAGGGCATGTGGATCTTCTTGTAAGTCATGTGTATTTGGTTTAGGAATAGTCAGGTCTGGAAGACTCGTTTTCTTGAAAATACCTTTATTTAAGCAGTTGTACCTTCAGCAGCTCAGTTCTAGATGGTGATGTTATTGTTTCTTAATTACTGAAAAGACAAGATCGTTTGTCTTAGAAGAACCTATCCAAATGCACTGAAATAAAAGGTGATAGTTCTATGTACAGACTAGACTTTTCTTAGCAAGCAGGAATAAAACAGAAGTTTTCTGTCAACAGTACAGATTCTGAGTGATAGAGAATGTGTCACCAAATATGTACTGCCAATGCTGGGGGCTTTTTATAGAGGTCTAAGAACTTTGGATAAAATTAGTTAATTGTTTTATGAAGGACAGATTCTTCAAATGTCAGTTTTTATTCTCTGACAGATACCTACTTCAAGACAGATAACAGTCTACAGTTGTGTTAATAAAACAGAAGTAATCAGAATAATGCCTTGTTGAAGCCACAGGGAAATTTAAGTAAGCAACGTGAAGTTACATGTGCAGAATTTGGCTTTGCTGGTGTTAATATAGCTGTTGATAGAACTATATTAGTTATACTATTACAGTTAATACAACGTCTGAGTTCTGCTATACAAATACATAGCTGTGACTGTAACAGCTGGTTGCAGAATTTTATAATAAAAGTGGGTAGTTGTATTCTCAGCTTTGTATCATTTAGGACAGCTCTATAAAATCTTTATGCTGAGGCCTTGGGTCAATACCAGAAGAGCTTGAGTAGTCATATAGAATTAGTACCTCTGTGAGATCAGGAGGCCTTGTTTCAAGTTCATCTACAAATATTGGGTGAATATATGGGATTGATAACTAACTAAATTTGTCTTTTCTTTAGATTACAGGGATGACTTGTGCTTCTTGTGTTCACAATATTGAATCCAAACTCATGAGAACAAATGGCATATTTTATGCCTCAGTTGCACTTGCAACTTGCAAAGCTCACATCCAGTTTGATCCTGAAATTATTGGACCTCGAGATATTATAAAAATAATCAAGGTAGGATTTAAGAATTTTTTATGTATGGACAATTATAAGGTGAAATTTAAAAGGATATAGAGCAGCTGATAATTGAGAGGTTTCACTGACTTTTGCAGATGACACAGTTATTGCCATATGTTTTTATGCTCTTGTGCTGAAGCTGCTGTGCTGCACAGTCATGTGTAGTCTCACAGGTTGTTACTCTAAAAACACATACTAAAAACTACAAAAAGAAACTTTTTTTTATCTATATGTGATAAAAGTCCGATATATTTATTCTTTGCAATTCTGTGTGTACAATCATGTGTCTCTCATTTCCAGTCACTTTAGTGGTCTTAATATTTCATAAAAAAAATACTACTTTCTTTTGACAGTGAAAGGCTGTAAAAGAAGTTTTGCCACAGCTCATACCCCAAGTATTACACATCTCCATATACACTTGCATTTATTCTCACATCAATAGAGTGGAATTTTTTAAACTGGAAAAGCTTGTGATACAACCACTAAATGAAAAAAAAATCCTGGCTTACCAGTAATCACATAGATCATAAAATCCACCATTACCGTGGCCCAGATGTGGACAAAACTTCCTTTTTTGCCCACCAGAAGGGAAGAAAATGTACTGTATGAGGTGCATGCAGTGAGTAGTCAGGAGGACAAGAGAGACTGTTTGCCCTCTGTGCTCTAGAGGATTTATTCAGAAGAAAATTCCTAGACTACAGGATTGATGGAGCAGCAGTTATTAACATATTAACTAGTAGACTGTTCAGGATGGCAGAGTAGTTCTGTAAAGCATATATTGCCAGAGAAGCGTTTCATGATGCAGGTAGGAAGTTTAGATGTATTGTTCTTGCAAGCGTGCTTTGGGTTTTTGGGTGTTTGAGGGAGAGGCATAGTTCTAGCCCTAACAATACGATTGCAATCACAGCCTAACGTCCTGAGTCAAAACATGGAGAGGTTTAGGTTGGACATCAGGAAGAATTTCTTCACAGAAGGGGTGATTAGGTATTGGAACGGGCTACCCAGGGAGGTGGTGGAGTCACCGTCCCTGGAGGTGTTTAAGAAAAGACTGGATGTTACATTCAGTGCTGTGGTCTAGTTGACAAGGTGGTGTTTGGTCATAGGTTGGACTGGATGATGTCAGAGGTCTTTTCTAACCTAATTGATTCTGTGATTATACTGCAGTAACTCACTGAAGTGTCAGTCAAAGCTGGCTTTTTGCTTGTATTTGTTTCTGGAATGCTTTGCCCTGTAGTCTACATGTTTAAACGGATTTTAGACACTTTCATTTTTAACTTCAGGTTTATCTGCTAAACTGTAATGTTTAGGATTTGCTTACAAGGTTGTCTAGCCCAGTGGCTTCTGCATTTTTACTTCATTTGTGATATGTCTCATCTCTCGTAATTATTCCAGTGGAGGTGAAAGGGCAGGCATACCTTGTCCTTGAGGGGATGAGCAACAGAATTCCAGCTGTCAGTGGGAGCTTCCTGTGCCTAAGACAACTGGGATGCATAATGCATCTATACACCATGTTCATGTATAGGTACCAGAAATCCTTATCAGTCCGGATTTTGAGTACTGACTGAAATATCCTCTCATTTTGGAAGGATCTAAAAATAAATAAGAAGTCAGCATTTATTAAATATGGAACAGTGTCCTTTTCTGACATTTCTTCTAAAAGTAGTGTCATTTAAGTATGTTATAAGTAATAGGGTTAGTTTAATCAAAACTAACTGATCTTTCCTCCTCTGTCAATAAAAAGGAAATTGGCTTTCATGCTTCTGTGGCTAGAAGAGATCCAAATGCACATAACCTGGATCATAAAAAGGAAATACAGCAGTAAGCATTTCTTTTTCTCTCTCACTAATTAACATGTCTAGATCATATCTTGTAAATCATCTCTCCCCAGGACTCTTCCCAGTTAATTAGCTTATTCTTATGTAAAGTATATTTAATTTTACTATTCACCATTTGGTTCAAGTACTTTTATTACTTTCATTAGTTTTAAACTCCTAGAAGTCTGTACAGTTAAACATGTAGGAGACACTGAAACTGTCCCTAAATGTTGGATCTTTGCAAATATCCCAAAGCTCTGCACTGTGAGCACACTGGCCTGAGTACTGCAGAGTGTACAACAACCAAGGATTTACAGTTTCTCCTTTTCAGGTGGAAGAAATCTTTCTTGTGCAGCCTACTGTTTGGTATCCCTGTCTTAATCATAATGATTTATATGCAAATACCCAATGGTGAGCACCATGGGTCTATGGTGCTGGAACGGAACCTCGTTCCTGGATTATCTATTTTGAATCTTCTCTTCTTTATCCTGTGCACTTTTGTTCAGGTATGTCCACCGTACTTCCTAGGGGTTTTGTTTCTATTCATTTCCTATTTCATTTATGTAATCTGATGTGGTAAAGACAGGAGACTGGAAAGCTTTAGTGGATTAGGCTTTCTCCCTTGTCTGTACCACCTACAGAACGAAGTGGCACTTTTCTGCAAATTATCCATTCTGTATTTACTCACAGTACTTACTGCTGCCAAAGTTGCATCAGATAGTTTTCCGAGTGGGGAAGGTACTGTCACAATGAAAAAAAGGCCTGATCATCTGCAAACTAATTGGGTAACTGTAGGTAAATCCTTTCATCTTCTGTGCCTTGTTTACTTTGCATAGCTGAGGAAAAGGATGATATTTAGCTGGTTTTGAAAATAAGGGCAAATGAGAGATGTCAGTGGAGTCAGTCTTCCAGGAGACCTGAAATTATATCAGTACAAAATTTGCATAGGACAGCAGTGCTTTCTCTTATCTACTATGTTTTTTAAATTCTGCTATGGGCAGTATTATGTACTCTCTCCATTCACTGCTGTGGTTACTGCTGTGATCTTAATCCAAGTCTGTCCATGCTTACACCAACAGTTTCTTGGCGGATGGTATTTTTATGTACAAGCTTACAAATCCCTGAGGCACAGGATGGCCAATATGGATGTGCTCATCGTACTGGCCACGACGATTGCTTATGTGTATTCCTGTGTGATCCTGATAGTGGCGATAATTGAAAAGGCAGAGGAAAGCCCTGTTACTTTCTTTGACACTCCTCCAATGTTGTTTGTGTTCATTGCACTTGGCAGATGGCTGGAACACATAGCAAAGGTAACTAACTCATCTTCACACTAGTTATTGTTTAATTATGATAGGAGTAGAATAAAACTATTCAGAGGAATTTTGAGTCAGATGTTTCTGATGCAACCTATACTGTACAAGGTCATTTAGAGTTCATTTTGTTGAGTAGACATCAGCATTTATATATCTCAATATATCTTAAACATTAATCTCTCTTTCTTAGAGTAAGACCTCAGAAGCTCTTGCTAAACTTATGTCTCTTCAAGCCACAGAAGCCACTGTGGTGACTCTTGGACCTGACCACTCTATTGTCAGGTACATATTTATGAACCAAAATTACTTCAGCCTGCCTGGGTCACAGACTATGCTTGATCCAGTTAACGTGAAAGCTGAGAGCATAAATAACCTGTCTGTTTTACTTGTGTCTTTTGTAGGGAGGAACAGGTAGCTGTTGAACTGGTTCAAAGGGGTGATATCATAAAAGTTGTTCCTGGTGGAAAGTTCCCAGTGGATGGAAAGGTCATTGAAGGCAGTTCTATGGCAGATGAGTCTCTCATTACTGGTAACTCCCCTTACCTTGTGCAAAAAAGTGAAAGCTTCTAGAACTCTTTATAACAAGAAAAGAGAGCAGACCCAATGTAAACACAGGTGTCTGAATAACCTCCCACCTTAATGGATATTGTGGCTTGCCTTTGTGAGCTTGAATTCAAATCTTGTGTCTGCAACACCCTAAAAAGCTGAAGAATTTCCACTCAGTTTTGTCACTTACTAATGTACTGATGGGATGGGTAGAGTCTAAACACTATTGTCATTATTCCAGTGATCTGTTTAGAGTTTCCTCTGGAATGTAGTTGTAGAGATGGTACCTTTTCAGAAATAACTTCTAAGGGTTAATGGGGAAATATTGATGAGATGCTGGGGTATGTATGACAGGGCTCTTACAGTGAGCAAGTAGAGGGAAAGGAAGCTTCATAACTTGACACCTATTCAGGGTCATGGGACTTTTTCACAGCTTCTGAAATTTTCATTTCATTTGATAAATAAAGTAAGGATTTAATGAATTGTGCAATTCTTATAAATAAGGTAAAGGATAGAAGAAGTTTACATTGACATTGGCTTACTTGTTTTAGTTACGTATTTACTTTACTTGGGAACCCCGACACCCTTAACTTAAGAGAACCCTGAAAATACAGATTTTGTAGAGCTACTGTTCTTGGAGTGGAAGCATGAGAACAGGAGCTTTTCCACAGAGAAAACTTTTCTAGTCTTTGAAAGCTGAGGATTGTAGAAATAAAGGCAGATTGCTCAAACTCCCATGACAAGGCAAAGTGTTAATGGAGAAATTCCTAGAAGTTCCTTTTCCAACCAGTTTGCTCCTGGCCCTGTTGAGGGATGCGATACTGAAAAGTTAAGACCAAGGAAACAGCATTTCCTTTGAAATTAAACCTATGAAAAGGTTTATGGAAGTATGACGCTACTTTTACATGTCTTCACCAGACAGAGATACACAGTATGTGATTTCTGGTCATTACTGCTTGGTATACTGAGTTTGCTAACAATGAACTGAACGCTAATGGACTGTGTTATTAGGGGTATTGGCTCATTTATTCCTACCTTTTCTTTCTAGGGGAACCTATGCCAGTCACTAAAAAGCCTGGGAGCACAGTGATTGCTGGTTCTATAAATGCACATGGCTCAATTCTTGTTAATGCTACTCATGTTGGTAGTGATACCACTCTGGCACAGATTGTGAAATTGGTGGAAGAAGCTCAAATGTCAAAGGTAAAAATAATAGAGAAGAAAACCTTAAATAATCAAAAGATTCTATATTTTCAGCAAACTGTGTTTTTCCAGACTTCAAAAAAGAAATAAAGACTATTGCATATTTTCATGAACTCTGCATATTTATTTGTTTTGACCACAAACATGCAAATAACTGGTTTTCTTTTTTATAGGCACCCATCCAGCAACTGGCAGATAAGTTTAGTGGATACTTTGTACCATTTATCATCATCATTTCAACAGTGACATTGATAGTATGGATCACAATTGGTTTTATAAATGTTGATGTTATTAAAAAATATTTTCCTGTAAGTAATTTTATTAAGAGATGGATTTTTTTCTTAGAATGCCTTACAGTGTACTTAACATACTTTCTGTGCATAGGTTTTATGTCACAACCTGGCAAATATTTTTGTGCAATGTGGTGTTTCCTAGACAGAGCAGATAATTACACTTGTTAAAATCTCTCTGCAGGTATAAATATACCTTTGCATTTCCCCCTTAGTTATGCATGGGGTTCTTACAAATGGAAATTATTGGCAGTCTTTCTGGACTAAACATGATCTATAGCTGCATTGCAAGGAGCCATTCCTGTCATGTCTGAAATATTTGTGGACATTCCGGTTCCTGATGGCAGATAGTGGTTTTGGCTTTAGAAAGAAGATGAGCTTCTGCAATCTTTAGGATGTGTATTTGCTATGCTCAGGAGCTGTGAGGATCTGTGTACCTGGAAATAGGGTTCTCCTTTGCTAAGCTATAAAGGAAATTCCAACAAGTTATATTGTCGCCTGAGAGCAGAGTTAAACATATGTGTGCTTGAGCAGCAAAAAATACAGAAAATACTGTCATAAACAATTCATAACATTGATCTTTATTTAGCATTATGGTAACAATAATAGATTGCTTTCCTACACTGGAGGCTTCCAGACAAATGTGTTTTTTGATATTACTGTGATTGATTGTACATCTGTATCGTACATCTTATTGTACATCTGATTGTACATCTTCTGTCAGCACTCTTACATATCTTTAATTTTTTCCCCTTTCTCTTCCTTCTTCTTGCAGAATCAGAGCAAACACATTTCAAAAGCTGAACTAATACTGAGGTTTGCGTTTCAAACCTCAATCACTGTGCTGAGCATTGCATGCCCTTGCTCTTTAGGCCTGGCTACCCCCACAGCTGTAATGGTGGGCACAGGAGTGGCTGCACAGAATGGTATTCTCATCAAAGGTGGAAAACCCCTGGAAATGGCACACAAGGTTAATAGTTCATTCTGTACTTTTGTATCTTACACAGCTATTGCTACATGAAATATAATTTCCCAGGAAATCCTGCAGGTCCAGAGAAAGTCTGCAGAAAGTTGTTCTTTTTTTTTTTTAATTCACTGCTGCTCATTAAAGTAAAGAAGACAAATCTGACCTTCTTTCTTCAAAGCAGTCACAGCAAAGTGTTGAGAGCCAACAGATCTTGCAATTTCATGACTATGAGGCTGCTAATCTTCTGCATGGCCTCAGGGCTTTCTGACTTTTGCACTTTCTTTACCTCTTCTGCAAAAGAGCCCAGTAATCCAGTAGATTTTTTCTTTCCTCAGAGAGCTATTGTGAAATGCATATTGTTTATGATCAGCAGTTTAAAATGTGGGATGTAAGAGAAAAACCAAATTATTTGAAGCTGTTTTGTTGTATAGAAAAAAAGATAGAAGGGAGGAAGGAAAAACCCTTCAAAGACACAAAAATGATGAAAAGAGGAGGAAGAAGTTGAAGGAGGAAGAGGCTTGACATGTCCACAAAGAATATGAATTGAAACCATGCTATGATAGACTGTATTAGACATGTGCAGAACAATTTAAGGGAAAAGGATGGTAAGAGCAAGTTAGTCAGAGTGATAATTCTTGTTCCTATTGGACCAGAAGTTCCAAGTCTTTGAAACAAAAAAAAAAAAAGATTGCTAAATAATGCTGGAACTTTTTACCTTTTGGATCTAAGCAAAGCTAGGGTCAGGGCTTTGAAAACTGGGATTCTGCAAGGCTGATGTGTTGAAATAGCTGGGAATGGAAAAAATGCCTACTTTGGTAAGTTATTTTGTTCTCGTGTTTCTCTCTGCTGTGTTTATTTTCAGCATTAGAATTAACTTTAGCTTTGGATTTCATTATATGTTTGGCTGTATTTTTTGGTTCATTCCTGATTCCTCAAGACCTATTGGGCTAGCTAACAAGTGACTGCTGGGTTTGAATTAGCATGATGTTGATTTTGCTTAGGTTCTTGAATTTCTTACAACTTCTTGCACTCTCTCTACCTTCTTTATCACCAAACTACTTCCTGAACCCTCTTTCCTCAGTGCTATTGTCAACTGTTTAGAACAGCATCCATAAAAACCCTCTTTGTATCACATAGGTTGTGGTAAAAGTGATTAAGGTGCCATTGCATGAGTCTTGCATGAAAAGACATGTACTGTCCTTTGTGTGTGCATTTAAGTCCTACAATGACTGTTGTCTGAGATCCTGATGTAGGTACAGGATGATGGTTTAGCTTGAGTGAAATCACTATATGGGGAATGAATAAGAAAGTATAAGGAGATGTACTGTACAAATAGTTTAAGGTACATACAGAAATCCGTAATTTTTTAGGGTTATTCTGTCTTCTCGTGGATATAGTCAACTATTTCTTAAGGTCTTGACTGCATTTATGTTCCAAAAACATATGAGCATCCCTTTACTCACAGGGCTTAGGGAGTAACTGTGGTTTATTTCTTGCAGATCAAGACTGTAATGTTTGATAAAACTGGGACCATCACCTATGGAGTTCCTAAAGTCATGAGGGTGCTTTTGTTGGGAGACACAGCTGTGATCTCCCTGAAGAAGATACTGGCGGTTATTGGCACTGCAGAAGCCAGCAGTGAGCATCCTTTAGGAGTGGCAGTCACTAAATATTGCAAAGAGGTACTTAGTCTTCCTATTTCATCTAAGGCCTGAAGGCGTCTGTGCAAATGCAGAAATATTATATGAAAGGATCAAGTTCCAGAGGGACAGGCCTGCCTGAAAAGTAACAGGCTGAAAAGCTGGGAGGCTGAAGGCAGGGAGGTACTGCAGAGAGATCTTAACAAGTTAGAAGACTGGGCAATCACCAACCACATTGAAGTTCAGCAAGGGAAAGTGCCAGATTCTGTACATGGGGTGGGGCAACCCTGGATGTACGGACAGACGGGAATGAGATGCTGGAAAGCAGTGCCATGGAAAGGGACCTGGGGGTCCTGGTTGATGGCAAGTTGAATCTGAGTCAGCAGTGCCTTGGCAGCCAGGAGGGCCAACCATGTCCTGGGGGGTATCAGGCACAGAATTGCCAGCCAGTCGAGGGAGGGGATTGTCCCGCTCTGCTCTGCACTGGTGCAGCCTCACCTTGAATACTGTGTGCAGTTTTGGGCACCACAATGTAGGAAAGATATTGAGCTGTTAGAGAGTGTCCAAAGGAGGGCAATGAAGATTGAGAGGAAGCCATATGAGGAGTGGCTGAGGTCACTTGGTCTGTTCAGCCTGGAGAGGAGGAAACTGAGGGGAGACCTCATTGCAATTACAACTTCCTTGTGAGGGGAAGCAGAGGGGCAGACACTGATCTCTTCTCTATGGTGACCAGTAACAGGACCTGAGGGGAATGGCTGGAAGTTGTGTCAGGGGAGGTTTAGGTTGGATATTAGGAAGAGGTTCTTCACCCAGAGGATGGTTGGGCACTGGAACAGGCTCCCCGGGGCAGTGTTCACAGCACCACACCTGACAGAGTTCAAGAAGTGTTTGGACAATACTCTCAGGCATATGATGAGACTCTTGGGAATGGTCCTGTGCAAGGCTAAGGGTTGGACTTGATGATCTTTGTGGGTCCCTTCCAACTCGCATATTCTGTGATTCTGTGATTTTATGGTTGTGCATCTTAGTCTGGACATTACCAGAAGGTATATTTTAAGCTGTGCTTTTCTGGTAACACTGTGGAGTTCTCAAGCAAGACCATACAAAGTTTTTCCTGAATTAATAGAAAAATAAGGATTGTGGAATATGTGCAGGAGCAATAATTATACTTAAAATAGCATTGTGAAGCAAATGTAGTGGCATTTCTTGTGTTACCTGACTGTAGTCACTTCTCTTAGTCACTTGCTCATTTCAATAAATTAGGGAAAGAGATTTAAAACTTGAATATTAAACTGTAATATTTTGTGAGTTTCACAAATTAATTAATGGATTACTCAAATCTTTGCAAATTTAACAAATCCTCAGAGGTCCTGTATATATTGTGTTCCTTAACTGTTTCAGAAAGATTGAAAGCACAAATCATAATGAAAATAGGAAGCCTGTTCAAATAAACTGTTTCTTTCTGCTAAGAGAAGTCCTTAATTGATTTAGGGAAAAAATAATTGGAAAGAATATATCAAACTTATTAGTGATAGATCTTTCCCTGATAAAATTTAGAACTGAACACTGAATTTAGAAGTATGAGTAATTAACTGGTTGCCTTTCTTGTATTTTACATTTTCTGTTTACATGTTCTCTTAGTACCCTGATACTTCTGTAGTTATCCCATGCACCAGTTACTACTGGATCATAGCTTATATGAATTGTAATGCTATACTGTTTGATAATATTCTCACCACCCATCTTATCATCCCTGTGTTTTAAGAAGGTCACTAAAAGATACATATAGTTCCAACTTCCAGAAACAACCCAGAATAACTTGTTTATAGATAAATCTTTTCTCCATTCTTTTTGAAACTGATAGGATCCTGGTAATCCTTTTCTTATCTTGAAGGTACTCACTGGCTTCTCACTCTAACTCAACAGGAAAACCCAGTTCCTTATCATCCAGCTAGATCACTCTAGGAATTAGAAACAGGTTTTCACTATACTTTTACGTATATTTATTCATATATATATATGTGTGTGTATATAAAAGGTCTGATCTACCACAGCCAGTTGTCTGTGAGGTTAATTAGAAGTTGCATCTTTTCAGAAGGTGTGTGGCTTCAATTCCTAATCTTGGCTGAAGTCGTGAACCACCAATCTAACTTTTTCATGCTTAAGCTACCAGGAAAAGCTGTTCTTTATAGTTTGCTGGTGCCAGGGCTGAGACCTGAATGTGATCTGTATGGCTGTCCCTTTCTGGAAGTCTAAGCCACAGCACAACCAAAACATGCTTATTTTTAGTTCTGTGCTACTAATACTCTGTGCTAGTTTTTGGTTGGTCAGTCATTGTCAAGAGGAGTGAGACCTCTCTTTTGCAGGAGTTAACTAATGTTTGTACCCCATTTGGGCAGCACAGACTGGTGATGACCTCTGGTTATGTCTACAGGAGCTTGGCACTCAGAGTCTGGGATACTGCACCGACTTCCAGGCAGTCCCAGGCTGTGGTATCAGCTGCAAAGTCGGAGGAGTTGAGGCCATCCTCAGCACAGCCAATCAGGGTCTCGATAATCTGGATGCTAACAGGAGTGGGGACAGCAGGGCTCCTCTGGGAGATAATGCGGTGATCACGCTCTTGGAATCACGGGGTAAGTCTGCCCCTGAGGTGACCACCAGTGGCAATGTGAGAGATGATGAATCAACAGTGCTGGCTGTTGTAAACCAATCCTACTGGACTAGGAACAACAGAAAAGTGGATTTATGGCAGAAGGAGGCAAAGAACAAAGAGGACCAAAATGTGGCTTAGCAAAAATTGAAGCTCTTTTCTGCAACTCTTGATCTCACTGAAATTCAGAAATCTAAATGAGAATTTAGATGCTACAGTGATGGATACTTGAAAATTACATACAATACTTATGCAATATTCCTTTTGGATAGAAGAATGGTCCTGCAGACAGCAAAGTTTGACAGTTAGTAATATCTTCCCATTTAGGACAATTACCTTTAACATATATTTCTTAGTGCAACATTTATATCCTACCCTTCAGTTCCTTATTAACTTTGGCCTTTTATTTTCTGTTCATATACTTCTCAGAGCATTTAAGTAAAAAAAAAAATTCATCAGATGCACAATAAAGCACTTTATATCTGAAAACAGAGTTTCAGCGTGCGACATTTTTGATTAGGCCAATACACTTGGGTTTGTTTCAGACTCTCTGGAAGCCACTTTGGTCTTTTGTACTGTAGGAGAGAAAGTAAAGGTATTTAAAACCTTCCTTAAGAAGCTCATCAGTTCTCTTCAAAAGGCTGTGGTGCTCCTGACCTTTTTGAGAAAGCTATTAGAAGAATTAAATAGAATAAGAACTTTAATCATCAGAACTGTGCCATTTGTAAATGGTGTTAATGTAATATTTTCTCACCTTCTCATATGGCTCTTGTGAAGTTGGATTGAATTCATAATGAGGTTCATTGTTTATTAGAACAAAACTACTTTTTTCTTCTCAGAAATAGCCTTTATATTTGAAAGAAGTCATTAGCTGTGAGAACAAAGGAGGATGGCATTTACTAAACATGCATACTGCACTTATTCAGAAAAACAGTACCAACTGACAAAGGCAAATACGGGCAAATACCTCTACTAAATTCATGACACATTTCTGTATGTAAACAGGCACAGATTGCGTCTTGAAGGAGAAAAGTTTCATGAGGCTGTCTTCAGGCACTGCCTATGCCCAACTTGTCATCCTCGAACATCTCTGCTTGTGGACACTATTTTCGAGTTGCTAATTTTTCTTTTTGTCTGTGCACAAAGGTCCGTCACCATCTCATACATACTCAGTGTTGATCGGAAATCGTGAGTGGATGCGACGCAATGGCTTGAATATTGCAAATGATGTGAATGATGCAATGACGGACCATGAAACGAAAGGACAGACTGCCATACTAGTGGCTATAGATGGTAACTGTTGTTCCTTGGAGTGACAATAAATATCAGGTGATCCTACTGAGGAAGGGATAAAAGCAAACTCTGGAGCAGCTGATTACTGGCTTAGTGGCAAGAAGCTACTAAGCTTTTGGTGCAGAACTGCTTGTGAACTGCAAAGTATCAAGGTGTTCTTAAAAGGAACTTTCACCATAGAGCAGTGTTTATAAGATTTTGTTGTGTAGTTTCTAATGTAAGTAATAATTTCTGAAACCCCTGTTGTCTAAGACTGTTGTTCAAAAAAGCAGTACCAGTGCAGTGCCATGTCCAATCCTGACTTTACATCACCTAGGGGTCACAGACCAACCTATTGCATCACTGGTTTCAAAACATGTAATAAATAAACATGATGATTCATTAGATCAGTCAAGTATAAATTAGACTCAATGAGTTTTGCTAGTGAGGTTCTGCTCTGTGCTATACAGAAAGAGATCTCAGATAATACCTTGATATAACAAATGGTTGTAATGGTCATAGATTGCCAGTGCATCTGTGATCTTGAAATGAGGCCTGTGATTCATTTACTGTACAAATATTCTTGGTGCTCCTAGAGGGCAATTTTGAGAGGCATGTGCACATGGATACACCTTTAAATCAATGGGTTGGAAGGCAGATGCAACACCTCTTTGTGAAAGTAATTAATTCTAATAGAGATCCAACCCTGAAAGAGTGGGGGACATAAAACCAGACACTCTATGTGCTTCCTCTTGGAGGATTAGCTTCAACATTTCTCCTGGGCACAAATTCCAAAACTTTCTCTGGCCCACTATCATGTTTATTTATACCATAAAATATAGGAGTCAGGCATGTTTAAAAGCTACCCTCCTCCCCTTACTCCTGGTGCTTAAATATCAAAGATGTTTACTGTTTGATCTGAAACAGATAAATGAGGAAAGAAAGAGACCGTAAATGAGAAAGCTGCAGACAGTTATGCAGGCAATAATGCCCAGAATGTGTTGGAGTGGTAGAGGGGAAGCCCTTTCTCTTGCTGCCACTTTGCCTCCTACAGCTCTCTCTAACAGAGGACGTTTCTTTGTGCAGGTGTGTTGTGTGGAATGATTGCAATAGCAGACACTGTCAAGCAGGAGGCAGCCCTTGCTGTGCATACACTGAAAAGCATGGGAATAGATGTGGTGCTGATAACGGGGGACAACAGAAAAACTGCGAAAGCCATTGCTACTCAGGTATCTGCTTCTTTGTGTTTCAAAAAAATATACAATGAGGTTTTAAAACTCTGGTTTGCCCCAGTGAATTTGAAGCAGGACTTCAGTTTCCCTGGAATCCCGGTTTCCCTGGATATGTTAAATGAAGACTAACATTTCTTGAACTGGACTGCAAATCAGGTCAAGTCCTATGGCATAGTAAAGGCCAGCGGCTGCTGAAGACATGCAGTCTTCTCCAGAGGTATAGAGTTCCTTGCAGTAATCAGTTGCTGAACTGAAACCTTCTGCTTCCCTTCACTGAAGGGCAGTCCTATTTGGTTAGTGATGAAGGAAGGTTCCTTGAAGGTCCAGTCCTGTTTGGTTAATGATGAAGGAAGGTTCCTTGAAGGTCCAGTCCTGTTCACAACAAGGGAAGTGGAGATTTGTCAGTATCTTCACGGGTAACATAGTATTAACAATATGAATTATTGTTAAGAAGCATAGCAGTTTAAAGGGTGTTGGGTTTATAGGAGATTCCCCTGATCTCAAACTCTAAATGCAAAATGAGGAACGGCTGAGGAACTGGAGTTGTTTAGTCTGGAGAAATGGAGGCTCAGTGGGGACCTTATCACTCTCTACAACTACCTGAAAGAAGGTTGTAAACCAGGTGGGGTTGGTCTCTTCTGCCAAGTAACAAACAACAGGACAAGAGAAAATATCTGCGTGGGGCAGTAGTGGAGTCACCATCCATGGAGGTATTTAAAAGAGATGTGGATGTGGTGATTATGGACTTGGCAGTGCTGGGTTAACAGTTGGACTCTATGATCTTAGAGGTCTTTTCCAACCTAATCTATTCTATGATTCTGTGATTTTACTGAAACTTTTATTGGTGCATCATGCAGCATGGTTAGCTGAAAACTACCTCTTTTAACCATTAAACCCTTATTGCTAGGATAGTGGAGCTTCAGAAGCCCTGCAGGGCATGATGCTTAGGGCAGAGCATCATTTGCCAGCATCTCTGCAGTAAAGATGGCGGGGGCTCTCATCAGACCTTTTCTTATGCCAAAGGCATGGTGCTCTTCAGCTTTCTGTGCAGCTTGCAAGTGTTGCCTTCACTGGAATCAGTTGGGTTGATATTCCTGTGTTTCCCCTTCACCAGAACAGCAAATGTCTCTCCTTTCAGCATGAAGCATATCACCATCTGAGTGTCTTTCTTTGTACATAGGTTGGGATCAAAAAAGTGTTTGCCGAGGTTCTTCCTTCTCACAAGGTTGCCAAGGTCCAGGAACTCCAAAATGGGAGGAGGAAGGTTGCAATGGTTGGTGATGGAGTCAATGATTCCCCTGCACTAGCCAGGGCTGACGTTGGAATTGCAATTGGAACAGGCACCGATGTTGCCATTGAAGCAGCAGATGTTGTTCTTATCCGAGTGAGCACTACAGTTTTAACCTATCTTCTTTTATCCCTGACGCTCCTCTTTTTGGTTTGGTATTCTGAAGACTGCATGTGGAAAACACTCAATGCTCTTCTGTCTTGCAGAACGACTTGCTGGATGTAGTTGCCAGTATTCATTTATCGAAGAGAACAGTTCGAAGAATACGAATAAATCTAATTCTTGCCTTAATTTATAATCTGCTTGGAATACCCATAGCAGCAGGTATGTGGCTGCTAGAGCTCAGCTTGTTGAAGGGAGCAGTGTAGTTGAACTCTGTAGTGCATCTTGTAGGATTCCCTGCTCAAGGAACCAAAGAGAGGTTCCTAGATTATTTAAAACTTGGTAGAAGGATGACAAAATACTTTTTTTTTTTTATAGGAACAAAAATATTTGTTCGCCAAATTTTAAACTCTTAGGAATATGTAGTTCTATGAAATTAAAACCATACTCTTACTTCACATAGCAGTACTTGGGGATTAGTTTCTATATAATCAAACTCAGCTCTAATCAGATACACCACCCCATTTCTAGGTGCTCCCTCTTTTATTCACCCTGAATTACACGTTTTTCTCTCCTACTACTTGCATCCTCTATACCACATGCTCCAGATTCCTACTTAAAATTTACTTCAAGCATTCATCATTTTGTTTATGAGTAACTTCTTCCTTTGCCTGTACGATTGTCTGTTCTTTCTGTTGCCTTTGCTGTGTTTCATCTGTGCAGAATAGCTGGAAGGGACAAATATTATTACCTTGTGGCCACAGTCTTGTAGCTGTATTTGTGCAAAGGTCATCCCTTGCAACGGGAGGGTCACGTTTAGAAATAAGTGAGTAAATATATATACTGATCTAGTTGTGTTTATGGAGGTCTCAGCAAGTCATGCTGTAGAACTGCTGATCTGTTCCATAGTATGAAGGAATGGGAATGCTTGTGTTGGGACAGGTGGCTCTGGCTCATGTCCATATTTTTTTTTCTAGGTGTGTTCATGCCTGTTGGCCTTGTGCTTGAGCCTTGGATGGGATCAGCTGCAATGGCAGCTTCTTCTATGTCTGTCCTGCTGTCTTCCCTGCAGCTGAAATGGCAAGTTGTCTTACACTTATCAGTTGGGGAACCATGACAACACTGATGATGGGATGCAAGTGAGACACACTTTGGGCTTTCTATACCTAGATGGACTTGGTCATGTTGATGTTGTAGCAGGTGGTGCAGCAGCTGCTGTCAGCACTTCAGCCTGATGGTCCTTTAGCTTGGTGTTGTTCTGTCTTATCCTTGGCTCCAAAAGAGACAGATGTTGCTATTATGAACTCACTTGGACTAAGACAGTGCTGAGCATTCTTTAACTAGCAGCTGATACTACCTGAACCCATGTGTTGCAAATCTAGTTCAATACCAAGTAAGGTAATGATCAGCAGGTTTTGCTGTGGATATCAGGTGAACAAGTCATTCAAAAGATAATTCTCCATGATGTAGCAGTCGATTTTTTAAAAAATATTTGTACCTGTTTTGTTTTTATTTTTGTCCATTTAAATTAGCCAGAGAGAAACAGAGAAGTGGTGTATTTATTCTTTTGCACCTTGCTACAGATATCTTTCTCTATTTTTTCTGTGCCTGTCTTGGCTTGAGAGAATTGGCAGGCTCAGAAATTAAGTAGTAATAAAAATTATTATTCTGTAGCTGATTTTTGAGACTGTTACATTCTTGACACCACACATCTTAAATTAATTATTTGTGAGCTATTAGATAGGAAGCTGTTAATTTAAACATATGTAATTAATCTATAAATTTATTTTTTCTATAGAGATACTTTCAATACAGTTAGGTTATCAGAAGTTTCAGATTTGTTCCAATGCAGAAGATGCTTCTACACGTTGACCTCTTGGTATTAAACATCTTTTCTCTTTCTCTTCTTAGTTACAAGAAGCCAGACACAGAAAGTTATGAAGCTCGAGCTCAAGGCCACATGAAGCCACTCACTCCTTCTCAAATCAGTGTTCATATTGGAATGGATGATAGAAGAAGGGATTCTTCCAGACTGGCTCCTTGGGATCAGATTAGCCAAGTGTCTTTCTCTTCCTTGGCTTCAGACAAGCTGCCAAGACGTAATGGTTTTGTTGAGGAGGAAGGGGGAAAGTGGTCATTGCTCATGAATGGAGGAGATGAGGAACAGTACATCTGAAGCAGTGCATTCTTAGTACAGAGAAATGTTTCTCTTCACCAGTGTTGGGAGGGATTGACTTGTTTCATCAAGAGCTTCAAGGTTGTAAATGAAGTTACTCCTTCAGCTCATAAGACACTTGCAACCCAGCTCAATGTTGGGTTGTACAGATGGTGGATTTTTTTCAGGTCACCAGTTATTTCTAGTTATGGAAATAATCTGTGGCTCTATGAACTGGCTTCTTTGCATACAGCAGTTAGTAAAATAATGTAAAATTGTAATTTTCAGAGTCTAAAAGAGTTTCTTTCTCTGTGACTCTTTGCTAGGCACCAAATTTCATACTTTTCACTCTTTCTAACTTTATTTTAAGCAAAAGTATTTTCAGAGCTGCCAAATATTAATGTGTTTCTAAGTGAAATTAGCAATGGCATAAGAATCTCTGTGGTCTGAAGTTGAATTTTTACACAGAATCCTAACTAGTCATGTCACTGTGAGAACACTTTGTATTTAGGATTCATGTATGTCTCCTTGGACCAAAAATGCTTTGTTATCTCACTGGCTATAACTCTCTGAAGGGTCTGTTTCAAAGATTTTCACTTGTTTTCAGGTTTTGCATCCTTTTGATGCACATTTCCATTGCTAAACTTGTTCTGTGATTCGCACTGCTCTCCTAGATTTTCTCTTTTGCTCAATATGAGCCCTTTTTTCTCCCTTCCTTGCACAAGATATCTTCTATAATTACTATTATGTATACAGATATTCCTGTTTGGGACAAATTCCTTTAAGTCACCAGGAACTTTTCCATTCCTGTTGAAGTCCACAAAGGCAGAAAAATTCCTAGTCCAAGTTATCCAAGATACTTGCAGGACCCTAGGAAGCTCCTGACAGTTGGGCATTTATCTGTCTCCTTCCTCTGACAGATTGAAGAATTTATGCCAGTGTGAGCAAAATCGGTATTTACCATGTTATGAGAGCAGAACTATCACTGGTGGGACTCCAGCATAGCAGAACAGAGCGAGTTTATTGCATAAGTTAACCCCAGCTTGCTGGTTGCTTAAAATGGAGTCCAAAGTTTAAATGACAAATGTGGAAAAATGGCCTTAAAATGTGGGGCTTCTGTTTGCTGTCACATCTAAATAAATCTCAGGAGGACTTGAACTAAGAAGATTTGTAATAGCAAATGTAAATTTGTATTCATGTTTTGAATTGGTTTTAGTTTCCTTCTTTGCTCTATTTTATTGAGAAATCAAGGTGCTGAACAACACTTTTTTTTTGCCTTAACATCTTTTCCAAAGCTTGCAGTAACTTTATCCCCATAAATGTCAAATTTATCCCTTAACACTTTTTAGAGTCAAGACAGTAGGAATCAATGGCTTTGGTGCACTGGATCCAGTCCTGGAGTGCTGTGTTGTCCAACTGTGGGACTCCAATGTAAGCAGACCACAGTTTTATAATCTAAAATAAAAACTGAAAGAAGAGGAAATGCTATGCTAAACTATTGCTAAAATAACCACTTACTTTCATTGACTTAAATATAAAGCTGTTTCCAGCGTGGGTTCAAATCCTGCTTCTTCTACTGTAAAAATGAAAAACAAGTAAGAGAGGAAAAGAATTGTGCTTGAAACATTGGCCAGGTCTTCCTATTCTCTCTTCTTCTCAGTATTGTATTTGAGCTGTCCTTAGCAAACATTGACAGAACTGTCTTATATATATATATAAATCAGTTTTAAAACTCTCTATAAATAGAGATTACTTTCACAGCACACACACTTTTCAAATATGCCATAGGTGCCTATACATTTCCCTGTGGGAAAGAGGATCCGCTGTTTCACTGTTCTGTGCTTTCTTACCAGTCCTTATGGTAAAAATATGGTGGTTTTTTTTAACAAACAAACAAATAAATAACTTTGTGTCTTTGTTTTTCTTTTTTCTTTGTTGTCTTTTTTCCTTTTCCTTTTTCTTTTCCTTTTTCTTTTTTTTCAGGGGTACAGAATTAAAAAAGAGCATAAGCAGTGATTGTTGGATTGCAGAATACATATGCACAAGGTTTTGCAACTGTTTTGTGATCTGTTTCGGGCAGGACATATAGGAGGGAAAAAAGCATATTGAAGGGTAGAAATAGGATTCAAAATCATCTTGGGAAATTGGACAGAACCGGCAAACTTTGCAAACAAGAAAGAAAGGAATTAAAGGTTAGCCCAGCAGAAAAAAGTCAGGTGGTTGTCTGGCATGCGCTTTGTGATCTATTCTAACAACATAGTGATTCTGCAAAATTAACAGAAGTATTGAGATGTTTATAAAGACTGTATCATCCATATGACATGAAGTACCTCATTCTGTTGTGTTTTCAAGAGGCATCAGCTGAAATATCAGGTCTAGTTTTATATGTCATACTTGTTAGGAAAAATGGATACAGGTCAGAGAAAAGCAGTGATATTTAAGAAAAATCTAGAAACCATGAGAACATAAGTATATGAGAATGAGAATTATAAGAAGATTGAAAGAGTTTGAGTAGGGTTGCCTACAGAATACTCAAAGGAAATACAAGTCTCAAAAATGAAGAGAATGATTTATTTCTTTCACCTTTTTGGTGTCTTTTATGTTGGTGGTGGCTAGAACAAGAAATAATAGGCTTATTGAATCAAAAAAGATTTAGATTAGTCACTAGGGAGGAACTGTGTAACAGGAAAGATTGTGGAGGACTGGAAGAGGTTGCAGAGGGGGATTCTTTGGATGTGCATGGCAATCAGACACATATCTGATGACAATGCGTTAACCACAGGTGAATCCTGCCTTGGGTCAGGCAGCTGCCCTGGACAAGCTCCTAACCTTGTCCCCAGCTGGGCTTTCTCTTATTTCTGTGAATGTTTTGTGAACTGGAAAATTATTAGAGTAGAGGATTGATCACACTATCCTACTCTCAAGAAGTGCCAAAGAACTGGAAAAAAGGTTACCTTTGACTTATTTAATAACTTTAAATGAATTGGAAAATATCTTAAGGTTTGCTAATTATATTTGTATAATGTCTTAGAGTGTAAACTGTTGTGAAACTTGCATAAATCTTAGAATCAGAGTGGTTTGGGTTGAAAGGATCCTTATAGTTAATCTAGTGCAACCCTCCTGCCATGGACAGGGAGACCTTCCACTAGAGTGGGTTGCTCAGAACCCCACCAACCTGGCCTTGAACACTTCCGGGGATGGGGCATCTATAGCTTCTCTGGGCAACCTCTGCCAGTGTCTCACCACCTTTACAAATAAAGAATTTCTTCATAATATCTAACCCAAATCTACCCTCTTTCAGTTTAAAGCCATTGCTCCTTGTCCTATCTCTACATACCCTTGTCCAAATTCCCTCTCCAGCTCCCTTTAGGTACTGGAAGGTGCTATAAGATCTCCCTGGAACCTTCTCTTTTCCAGGCTCTCAGCCTGTCTACATAGGAGAGGTGTTTCAGCCCTCTGATCATTTTTGTGGTCCTCCTCTGCACTTGTTCCAACAGGTCTACCTACATCCTTCCTGTATTGGGAGCCCCAGATGTGGATGCAGTACTCCAGGTAGGGTCTCATAAGGGTGGAGTAGAGGGGCAGAATCACTTCCCTCGACCTGTTGGCCACACTGTTTTTGATGCAGCCCAGGATATGGTTGGTTTTCTGGGCTGCAAGTGCACATTGTTGGGTCATGTTGAACTTCTTGTCAACCAACACTGCTGAGGTATAAATACCTATGAGGAAGTTAGAATAGTTATACATAGTCAAAAAAAAATATAGGTGGTAGTCCTGACGCTTGTGATCATGTGCATTTGTTAAATTTGAGCTGGCTCACTGGAGGGGTGTATGAGATGGAGCTCAGCACCTGCATTTTTCTGTAACATAATTATGAGCTTTCCTTGTCTCCACGGGGATTGTCTGCCTGCAGCCCTCTGGCAGAGCAAGGTGCTGGTCTGTGACTGCTGTTCCTCTGCCCTGTGAGCCAGATCCAGTAAAAGAGCTGGAGGAAGGTGCCTGAGAAGGCAGGCTCTTGAGGCAATTCATAAGCTCGGTGCGCCAGCTGCTTTCCAGTGTGCCACACTTCTCCTCTTTCCCAGGACTGAGTATTTACATGGATTAGACAGTGTGGAGGAACTTTTCAAATCCCAGTTTTGATCTTAGGTGTCTACATTCTGCATGTTCTCCCAGCATGACTCAGTTGCTGCCTATCTGACCTCTAAATGTTGATATATCTAATGATTTACGTGGGACATCTAGTTGTTTTGCTCTCGGAAAAGTTTGTGAGTCTTTTTCTGTAGCTTTTTTTTTTTTTTCCGATGAACACAGAAGACATCTAATGAATCAGATCTTCGACCTTCATGTTATTTTTAGTGCAATAGCTCAGGAGCACTGTTGCCTGCAAAGTTTTTCAACTATTTTTCTTCTCATGTTATAGTTTTCTGATACAATTTTTTGGTGCCCTAAGTTCACAGGAAAGAAAGGATTCCATTTAATTTCCGCCTCCTTTCCTTGTTTTTCAAGCAAATAAACTGTCTGATTTCTATCTCAGCTGATTACAGCCTTTCTCTGACTAAGTATTCGTTCAAGGATTGTATTTTCTCTAAATGCATTTGTGCGTGAAGAAAAAAATGAGTAGGTGGTGAAATTATACAATGGTGTACAGGGATGTGAAATTGAATAACGCTGAAATGTCAGATTTAATTTCCTCTACCAAGACACCAACAACAAGCGTGTTGGTTTTCAGTGTGAAATCGTTTGAGCGTCACAACAAAAGAAGTGGTGAAGCGCAAAACATCCTGCTCACATGTGGGTCTCAAACACACATAAGCACAGGAGAAGACATTAATTCCTCTCCTTGTCTTGAGTTAAAAGCACTCAGGCTTTGCAGGCAAGGATAGCCCATCCACAGGCTCTCCATGCCATGATCTGATTTTCATGATTGGTTTATCTTCATGCTTAAAAGGATGGTTTCTGAAGTTTCCCCTGTTGCTGCAGGGGAAGGGATATGTGGTAGGAGGAGGTACGTGTTTCCCAACTTGGGCAATCAGCCTCCTGAGATGGAGGTATGTCCCCTAGGAGCTTTGTTCTGGTCAGCGCTGAGCAGTGCTGCAGTTCAGGGACATCCTGGCATCAGGGTGAGTTTTGGGT